ACCCAACCACGGCGGTGGTGGAGGTGGTCCCACCAGGTGGTTGTGTCCCACAGCTCAGCCAAACGCCAGGGCCCAGCAGCCCCATCTTCTTACCGAGCGATGCCGAGTGGGACTGGCTGCTGGCCAAGACCTGGGTGCGCAACGCTGACTTCTACAGCCACCAGCTCCTCACGCACCTCTTGAGGACCCACCTCTTCGGGGAGATCTTTGCTGTTGCCACCCTACGCCAACTGCCCAGCTGTCACCCCATCTTCAAGGTAAGGTCTCAGCTCAGGATCGCTCACTGCCCACCCACCCACCTGACCGCAGCGACACACACGCACCCCAACAGCCCCCCTCAGCTCCTTGGGAGGTGCCTGTTCATCTCCAAGTCTTGGTTTCCACCACCAGCTCCTCTTACCCCACTACCGCTACACATTGCACATCAACACGTTGGCCCGGACTGTCCTCATCAACCCTGGTGGCGTCATTGACAAGGTAAGCCCTGGGGACTGGGAGCACTGAGGGGCACTGAGGTGTTCTGGTAGCAGTGGGGACCGCTGGGGCAGCTGGCGACTGGAGCAGGGCATGGTGCCGCTCGCCCTGAGCACCTCTGGGTACCTTCTCCCTGCCAGGGTTCAGGGGCAAGCTACGAGGGGCTGCAGCTGATCGTCCAGCGGGGCCTAGAGAAGGTCACCTACACCTCGCTGTGCCTCCCTGATGACATCGAGGACCGTGGCATGGCCTACATCCCCAACTACCACTACCGGGACGATGGGTTCAGCCTCTGGCAAGCCGTCGATAGGTGGGACAAAGGTTTGGGTGGCAGCTGGGGATGGTCCTGTGGGTGCTCCATGACCTCATGGTAATCTCACCCCGTGGCAGCTTTGTCTCTGGTATTGTGGATTTCTACTACGCGGACGATGCCGCCGTGAGAGAGGACACTGAGCTGCAGGCATGGGTGATGGACATCTTCACCAACGGCTTCTTGGGCAAGGCCTCCTCAGGTACCGTGTCTCCACACCCACGGGTGCCATGGGACGTCCCCAGGGGCGGTGGTGGAGACAAGGACAGGTCCCTGATGCTCTTTGCTGTCCCCCTGCTCCCCAGGTATACCCTCCTCACTGCGGAGAGTGGCAGAGCTCAAGAAGTTCGTCACCATGGTGATGTTCACCTGCTCGGTGCAGCACGCATCTGTCAACAACGGGCAGGTGGGTCAGGGGACAGGGAAGCTCTGACTCCTCTGCCCTGAACTGTCCCCAACCTATGCTGGAAAACTGTCCCCCTCCAACCCCTCTGTGTGCAGGAGGGGTGTCCCCATCCTGAGCCAGGGTAGATGTCCCTGTCTCACCTCTTTTGATGCTGGAGGGATTCCCCACCTGTGGAGAATGTCCCCAGCCAACCCATACCCAGGGCAGAGGGACGTCCTCTGCTGACAGTGATCTCTCACCCTGCAGTATGACCTGGGTGCTTTCGTCGCGAATGCCCCGTCCTCCATGCGTCACTCGCCCCCAAGAGAGAAGGGCAAGGGCTCCCTCCAGGATTTCCTTGACACCGTCCCTGAGATAGACACCACGGCCAACATCGTGGTGGTGATCACCCTCCTCAGCTCCCGCCTCAAGGACGTGGTGAGTCTGGCTCCACCGTCATCACAACCTTCCAAAAACGGCAGCTCTGGGGGACAGATGAACCCCAAAAAGTGTCCCACAAGGCCGTGGGTGCACGTCACCACTTTGGGTATCCCCAAGCTCAGGGTGGTGGCCACCACCACTCTCCAGCTACCAGGGTGCCCAGAGACCCCCCAGGTGGCTTAGAATACCTCCACCAAGGGGTTGAATCTGATGGGTCTCCGTCCCTGTGTCCCCTAGAGGTTCCTGGGACACTACCCAGAGGACAGGTTCACGGAGCAGCACCCCCGGCAGCTCATGAGGGACTTCAGAAAGCGACTGGACGAGATCCGGGAGGGCATCGAGGAGAGGAACCACCGGTCCGAGCTGAGATACAAC